AAGGTGGAAAGATGTGCATGATAATTATTTGTGTCTGTGCTAGGGTTGGGTGTAATTCACAATCAACTGAAATACTAAAATAAAGCCTAAATTCATAAATGAGTATTTTAACATTTATTTGACTAATTTTCGGAAAGAAGTTCATGCTAAAGAAGTTTGTGTACATAAACAAGCTTGTGTTTTTCGACTCAGAGTGATGGTAAATTGACCCCAGCCTTGGCGAACGACGTGTTTAGAGGTTTTATGGTGACGTGGGAGGAGAGAGTGTTCACTTTTGGGTTGGCTCGAAACCAAACTGCACCCTTCGTTTTGACACCTTTCAGCTAACGGGGATCAAGAATGGAAGGAAAAGGAGGAGCTTCAGTGCACTATTCCACCCCGCTCACCGTGCATGACCGGACAGGAGGAACAGCCACCGTCTCCTCCTCCACCCCCTTCCATTTCTCCTTTCCTTCTCCACCCATCCTTCTCTGTCTGTTGTCTGCCTAACTAAGAGCAGTGGATGGAAGAGCTTCACATGTGCAAAGGCTTTGTTGTCCGAACATCTCCACTCATGGTAACTAAATTTGTAAGAAAAGAAACTTTCCAAGCAGTGCTTTTACTTTTGTTTTATTTAACATAAACGAGTATGTGTGATGCTTTTCCGTTTTTGCAAAGAATCAATAAAATGGCCATGTGATCCTCTGATTGAAGGCACAAACATTACTTTTTATTTTTCTTTGGCTTGTACTGTGTAAACTGAGTTTAGAGACATTTTTATAGGGAACGTGTTTGGTGTTTTCTCCTCTCCCTCTCATTCTCTTATTCTTTCTGGTTAGTATGTTTGTACATGTCTGCTTTTTTGATTAAAATCTAGATGGTGTAATAAAAACGTTTACTGAGGTACACTCATCTGGTGAATTGCTCTTCAAGTTTGGTTCATTTATATTAAATGTATTTTTCTGGGATTTAAAATGTTTTTGCATCGAAATACTTAGATTATGCTTTTTAGCTCACTACGCAAGTGGTTGTCCTTTTTTGTTTTTTTGTTTTATTTTTGGCCAAATGGGAGGAAAAAAACAAAACTTCAAGGTAAGACAAATTGGACAAAATCTCTGTAGGTGCTTTAACGGATAGATGTGGACATCAGTGGGTTCTGATTGTCAGAATGCCTTTCAAGGACATTTTCTCACATTTTTAAACCAAATATGGTGAATCTAAAAAAAAAACATGCTGCTGTTTTTATATGACCGTTTATTTTTGTGTAATTATACCTAATGGCCTCCAAAACTGGCCATCACCAAGCTGTGTTTGTAGTGTGTTACTGTGAACAATACGATTGTTACGTTTAATAACCATCGTTTAATTTACCATTCTTTATTTTTTTGAGCGGTTCATGAACGGGTTCTAAAAATCATTCCATCTTTTTCTAATTTGCCTAAAATGGAACCAAAAAGTTACATAAGTGTAAAATCAATCCAAACAAGTTGTTGCACCACAGCTTTAAAAGAGTAGTTTGATTGTGTTTTTAAGTGATGTTTTGTCAAATATTAATAATACTTTATCGGCTATAACATCAGGCATTTAGTACAGAGCATGGAGGGGAAAAGACCTGTTTTATATAGTTGAGCTTTATGAAACAAGTCTTTCTACAAACACCATAGCAGTGTGGACAAATGATATATTGGCTAATTATACAACTATTTCTGCGCTGTTTGTTTGGTTTAACCAGTAACACCCACTTTATGACGTGCTCCGATCATGGACCAGCTAAATGTTGATGTCCTGACTGCTGAACATGTGCCCCCCACAAGATGTTTCTTTACTGCTCCGGTGGACTGATGCATTTATCTGTGGCTAGTCGTTAGCCTAGCCTAGGTAAAGATTTCTACACTTTTCAGACTGTGCTCTTTGACTGATGCTGTGGCTGATAAATACTACTGTAAAAAAATAAAGACTATCCCTTTAACATGTCAGGTGTGACGGGAGCCATCCAAGGCAGCACGTTTGTTGATGCATATTTGTCAGATTGTGACTCGGTTATTTGTTACTCAAACAATTATCACATTTAAAGTAGCGGCTTTGGAAAATAGTAAGATTTCTCTTTTTATTCACTGACATGAATTTACAAAGTAAATGAACTGCTTCTGTTACAGTACGAAAAGAAAGGTGAATTGTAAAGCTACATTTGTTTATGACGTTAAAGTACAGGTAAATAACAAATACTAACGAATGTCGGATGTAGTGCTCCAATGTAGTATGATCAGTAGTTCTTTGAAGTATGGAAAAATAAATGCCTGTTTTGTTTTTAACGCTAAATCACCTGTGCACCTGTAGAGGTTTAACTCTCAGAGAGTGCTGCTGATTAAATGAGCACTCGTCATATTATTTTAGTATTCTGTCGTAACTTCACATTCATGTCTTAATATGAGGACTGTATCTGATCAATGTAAAAGTTGTGATTCTAACCTGAAACTGAAAACCAGGAAAGAATTTCACTGAAAGGTGTTAATCACTTTGTTCACATTTGAAAGTTTTAACTTCCAGGTGGTGCTCCTGCAACTTTTCTCTTTTTAATAGAAATTTCACAATGTTTTATGTCCATGAATGTCATTCAGAACACTTCTGCAACCTGTAAACTCTGTAAGAAGACTGAAACATTTTGTAAATTGAGGGTTTTAATGTTTTAAAACGATGTTTAAACATCTCTGGCCAATTAGTGAAAAAAATAAATTAGTTATTTATGATTAAAAACTATATTTTGATTTATTTTTTTAATGGCCATTTGATTGGCTTGTCTGTTTTTACACTAAATGGAACTAAAGCAGTAGCTACAGTCAAATCACAGTTGAGTTGTAGCTTCTTTCCACAGCTCTGAAGGTAAGTGCCACGTCCACGAGATGGAGAAGCCTGACTGACATCTGCTGTAATGAAGCCACTTTGAACGTGACTACATTTAGAATAAGGCTGTTTTTAAAGTGCGTTTTAGAATTTCAAATAACTCTTGATATTTAGGTTTATTTGTATTTGCAAATGCCAGCATTTTTATTGAACACGTTAAAATTACTAAGGTTTAAATTTTTTGAAAAGGAAAACACTTGAGTCCGTCCAGTTACGATCACCACTTTGTACTTGTACTGAGTTACCACTGGGTTTGGTCGTAATGTTTTGAATAAGTGTGTACCGTTTTGAATAGAAATGTGGCGGGTACACATTGTCTCTTTTTGTTTGCTTTGATTTCTAATAAAATATTGAAATGTATTTTGTTTCACTTTTGTTTTCCAACAAGTTCATAAAACAAAAGTTTTGTGTAGATTAGGAGTAGAAGACTAACGTGTTCTTATGGGTTCATCACGGGAGTTATAAACAAACAATAATTAGTCTCAAGGAATGTTCCTATAAATTTTGCAATCTCAAAGCAAATTTATAAGTTAACCTATTGTAAATATTTTATTAAAAAGTCCAAAATTGTGGAATTAAAAAAAAAATCAGCCTTTTTTTTTTATGATTTAGATTAAAAGATAATTTTACGTCTCGTAAGTGTAGTATACACACAAATTCATAAACGTGCACATCAAGTATGGTTTGTAAATCTAAATACCATTTTATTTATAAAGCACTGAACAGCGACGGGGCTAACCAAAGTGCTGTACAAACAGGCAAAGCACACAACACAACGTAAAATCAAAATATAGAAACAAAATAATAGCAGATAACATAAAGACTAATACAGTATGATGCATACTGGTTCAACACAGATCATACGGTGCTGAAAGCCAGAGAACAGCAGTGGGTTTTTAAACAGGATTTAAAAACTGAGGGAGGGGGCCTGTCTGACAAGCAGAGGTAACGCGTTCCTAAGTCTTGGGCCTGCGACAGAAAAGGCCTTGTCACTGAGCTTAAGACGGGTTCCTGGAACTGTAAGAAGTAACTGGTCTGCTGACCTCAGAGAACGTGGTGGGACATATGGCTGCAGCAGATCAGTGAGAGAGGAGTGCTGTTAAGTGATTTATAAACATACAAGAGCATTTTGAACTGGATACGAAAGTGAATCGTAGCCAGTGCAGGGAGGCCAAAACAGGTGTAATGTGCTCTCTTTTGCCTGTACTGGCTTTTTCATTCAACCTTTATTTAGACAGGTAAATCCCATTGAGCCTCGAGGACTCATTTACAAGAGAGACCTGATTAAAAGTCGGGCTGCCGCATTTTGGACCAGTTACAGTCACGAAATGGAGTTCTGACTGATACCAAACAGGAGCGAGTTGCAGTAATCAAGCCTGGATGTTAAGCATGCATGTATTACTGTCTCCAGGTTCTTTTTGGACAATATGGGCTTCAGCTTAGACAGCCGCCTCAGCTGGAAAAAACAGGATTTAACAATCATGTTTACATGACTGTTAAATTTCAAGGATTATCACTCCCAGATTAGTGACTCTGTTTCTCTAACGGGGCTAGTGCGGAAAGGTCAATGCTGTGGTTGATGATTGTGTCGTGAGGAAATATGACTTCTCATTGAAGCTTAAGAAATTTTAAAGCCATCCAGTCTCTGATGTCAGCCAGGCAGTCAAGCAGAGGGTGAATAGAGAGTGTACCATTGTGTCTTAGGGGGAAGTAAATTTGACATTCATTGGCATAGAAGTGAAAGTGTATGTTGTGGTCCGGAAAATGGCACCCAGTGGCAGTAGGTATAAAGAAAATAGAAGGGGACCGAGGATGGACCCACAGGGGTCACTTTACATTTTGCAATCTCGAGAGAATAAAGCATAGATTAAAAAAGGGACTAAAAATAAATATAAACTAAAAACAGCAATATTAAAATGACCTTTAAACGCTATAAAATCTTTCAAATAAAAACTATAGTGGGAGTCCAAAAAGCGTTCAATACAGAAAGTGGGAGTCTCAGGACAATATGTCTTGCTCTATGTTGATACGTCAAATAATATTCAGATACTCAGACATAATATAATGTAAGGTTTTGAATTATTTTTCAACGTTATCTTTGTTTTTCTTAGCTATATTGTCTGACCGGAACCTGTGTGCTCCGGTTTCAGTTCCGCATCGCACGATTAAACAAGCTGCACTTCCGGCGCTTGTTTACGGTGCGCAGCTAAAACAGTCCGCCGTGCGTAAGGCGCCTAAAACTGTAGTAGAAATGTAAATACACGGTGGAGCAAGTAGATACAAATAGAGAGTACCTCAGAATTTATTCAAATAGTTTCTGCGCTGTATTATGTTAAAAAAGATGACTGAATTTGGTCCAGATTCCGGGGGGCGCGTTAAGGTAAAACGTTACGTCGAAAATGTACGAGTAGCTTAACTGAAAATTTCACTATGGATACTGCTATGTATTTTCGTAAAGGTTATTCCTACTTTTTACAATGTGCTTAATATTTATTCTCCCTCATTTGTGGTCATTCCTTCACTTTAACGCGCTGTTTTACTGCAGGGTGTGACTATAGTGAAACCTATTGTGTTTGGGAATGTTGCTCGTTACTTTGGGAAAAAGAGAGAGGAAGATGGTCATACTCATCAGTGGTCTGTTTATGTGAAGCCGTACAGAAATGAGGTAAGACAAGCAGTGAAACACGTGTAGTTCATTATGGGGCCGTTTTCTGTTTTATTAAAAAAAAGCTTGTTCTCCCAGGATATGTCTGCCTATGTGAAGAAGATCCAGTTCAAGTTGCATGAGAGCTATGTGAACCCACTGAGAGGTGAGGAAAAATAATGGTGTTTAAAAGCAAAGTGTTTTCTTGTCATTATGCAGGTTAACCCAAGTCAACAATGTAATGAAATGTTCAGGATGAACCGAATCGACTCGTAAAAAAAAACAAATAAATAAAGCATGCAGTAAAGGTACAAAGGGCCAAAAAGAAATATATTTACAATGTCCAAAATAAATATTGTAAACAACATGGTAGAGTATAATAGTGCAAGCAGGAATTAGTGTAAATAAGTATTTACATGATACAGCCACATAGTGCAGGACCAATAAACATTACGCGTCACAGATGTAGCTTAGTGCAATGTTACTGTTAGTTTAGTATTATTATCACGAGTTCAGTCATTTGACATTTATGGGTAATAATAGTGTTTAAAGTGTTTTGTTAAAAACAATGAAATATCAGTTTGTCCACTTTTTTTTTTCTCTCGTTTCTAGTGGTAACAAAACCTCCGTATGAAATTACAGAGACGGGCTGGGGAGAGTTTGAGATCATTGTCAAGATCTTTTTCATTGATCCTAATGAGAGGCCTGTAAGTTCTGCCACAAGTAGGCACAACACTTCAGATTAATTCAGCCAGGAGTTTATTTTATTTATCTTGTGGATTGTTTAAAACAGCTGATTTGAGCTTCACTACTGAATACTTTACACTTTGTACTAAGTTAAATTGTTGGCTTGTACTAAGTTATTAACTAGAGAACTTTTTTATGATTTGTGCTCGTTTGTGTGTCTCAGGTGACTTTGTACCATCTCTTGAAGCTTTTCCAGTCAGATTCCAGTGCTATGCCCAAGAAAACCGTCGTCTCTGAGTTTTATGATGAAATGGTACAGGCTCTATCATAATCTTTTGTCGTATTAAAGTTATACTTTGTGCATTTTTTCCTTAATACTGTGGAAATTAGTTTATCTCGGTAACCTCTGTTTTGATGAGCTGTTTTATTAAAAATCTGTAACGTAAAAGCAGTATTCCTGAGTTCTTTATGTTTGTTTAATTTTCAGATATTTCAAGATCCTACAGCTATGATGCAGCAGCTACTAACCACATCAAGACAACTCACTCTTGGAGCGTACAAGCATGAGACAGAGTGTATGTACCAGTGTGTTAACAATTAAAGCTTGAGTGTATTTGTATTGTTGCCCTCTTATAAGATTGGCGTTTTGATCACAATACATAATATAAATTTAATTCGTATGAATCCACTGGTTTGGATTCTTTCCGTGCTCACAGCAGCACTGAAAGAATCCAAAGTTTGGTCTGCATGCTTTTCAGGGTATTTTCTTGTGTCTGCAGTCAGTGAGCTGGAGCAGAGGACAAAGGAAAAACTGGAAGCAGCAAAGAAGAGAACGAGCCAGGAGATTACCGAGCTGAAAGACAAACTTAAAGCGAGTAGAGAAAACATCAACTACCTGAAGTTAGAAATCCGGAAGCTGGAGGAGGATGGGGACCACAAAGAACACTGAAAGATGCACGGACTTATTCTTAAGTGCCTCAGTCCTCATTGCTGAGTCTGAAATGATGTTTTGCTTCGAACCATTTTGTAATTACCAACTTTTTACATTTAAATTTTCTCTTCTCCATTGCAGGTGAAAGTTTTCTACGGTCAGTCAACATACTGCAAAAATCCTAATGTATTTTAATTCCAGTACTGTCAACGTAAAAATGTAGATTTGCTTGTAGTTGAATCAAGTATTCTGTAGTTTTCCTCCTTTTTTTCTCTTAATATTACTACATTGGTATGTTGTGTGGCAGAAAGATTAAAACTTGAGCAAACAAGTTTACGGTATTTCAACTAAACTGGAAAGTTGTAAAACAGTGTCCCCAAATAACGTCGTTTTGTACTGCAAGTTGGTAGTAACTGTTGTAACCATTTTTATTTAAACAGTAAATGTGTTAACTTGTCAGCGTGGCTCAATTCTTATACAGTATTTAGAAACATCAAGATTGATAAGATGCTTCATATTTATTTATGACCAACAGTGTTTTTAAGGTAAATGGGGTTTTTTTTATTGTCATTTGCATCTCGTGTGGTACATGTGGAACATAGGTACATTTACATTACCGTTTTTATTTTGCATTTTATACTTTTGTTGGATGTTACCCTGTGTACACAATTTCATTACACCACATATGACAAACTTTGCGGTACATAGGGTCCCAGTTACATCCAACAGAAATATACATTGTAAAGAAAAACAGTAAGATCTAAGGTATGAACTAAGAATACACTAAGCACTAATAGTGTTAAAGGTTACCAAAAAGGTGTGACATGAATTCATTCAACCTTTATTTAGAGGGTAAATCCCATTGAGCTTCAAGGACTCACAAGAGAGACCTGAAATCATTCACCAAATTGAATAGTTATTCTTTAAAAAAAAAAAGGGGGCTTTGCACAAATGTATCAATACAAAACTTAAATATTATATTTAAGACTCAAAGTTGTTTGCACTTTATACCTGGCTATTTTTTTAAATGCGTCCAATTTATTTATAAAGCTCATTTACAAACAGTTGCTACAAAAGTACATTTAATGCACTTTTTTATTAACTTTGCTTAAACGTTTTATTATCGACTCAACATTATTAATATCTGTGGCTTTGTGTTCAAACTGCAAGGATGTTTTATTGTCATATGTTTCGATTCGAGATCGTTAACCTTTCAGGAAGTTGTCAGATTTCCGAGTGTCTGTGAAGGCATCAGACCGGAAGTTCAAACTTTTTGCTTCGCAACAAAAAATAGTTGAACTTGGTTCATTTTGTCGCTATTTCTTAATTTAAACAGCTAATTTAACATGTTAACATTTAGCGAATTGGAATGGAAACGTTGCTGTTTAAACCAGCGCAGTTATTATTTTATAAAAGTAAATTTATTCGCGATAAAACGCGACTGAAGCTGGCAAAATTTCTCGGTTTGAATTATCTCCAGGTGTCTTTAATCAGGCGGAAAAAGAAGTCCAGGTAAGATTTTAGACTCGCTATGGAAACATTAACATTGGAAACATGATCTCATATATATATATATATATATATATATATATACATATTGTATATGTATATATATATATATATATATATATTGTGTATATATATATATATATATATATATAT